CCCCCCCCCCCACCCCGGCACCCACGGAGCACTCGTGACCCCCGAGTCTGGCTCCATGACACATCCCCGTGCCCCGCTGGGGCTGTGGGATGCTGGTGGGGACCTGCGCAGACGTGCCCCGTCCCGCTGCGGTGGCTACTCACGTGTTTCTGGCTTTGTTGAAGGAGCAAGCCTTGTTCAGGGGGTCTGGGGCTTGGTCCGCTGGGGTCACCTTCAGGTGGCAGGTGATGTAGATCTGCGGGGAAGGCAGGGGAGAAAGGTGGGCACCCACTGGTGGGGTACACCATCTTGCTTTGGGGCTGGCGGTGGGGGACACGCAGCCTTACCAGGTTCCTGGCGTCCCCCGCGAATCTGAACACGTCGATCCTGAAGCGCAGCACGTCCTCCCGCGGCCGGGGGGTGATGAAAGCGGAGCTGGTGTCATCTGACCTCCCATCAACCAGGCACCTGGGGTGGGACGGGGGGGGGGGGGGGGGTCAGCACCCTGGCAAATCCCCCCTCCCAGTGCTGGTGGCTCCCCGGGGCTCACCCGTTGAAGTCGATGATGGCGTAGTGGGGTGAGGAGTCGGTGCCGGGGCTGAGGGCGGCCACGCAGCTGTCCACGAACAACCGCAGTGGCACGTGGCTCTCGGTGCCCACCTCCGCTTGGATGTTGAGGACGTCGCCCAGTTGGAAACCGGTGAAGGGTCTCTCGGCGCTCCAGTCCTCTGCAAGGCAGCGCCGGGTTGACAAGGGTGGGGGGTGGCTCCGGCCGTCCCCGAGCTCCCGTGGGACCAGAGCCAAGGCTCAGCCCAAAAGCAGGAGCGCTGGTGTTTGCCATGGGGTGTGTTGGCTTCCCAAGTGGGGTGCTGGGTCCCCGAGCTCCCCCGCACTGGGAAAAGGGTGGAAAATCCCCATCCGCAGGTCAGGATGGCTTCCCACCTACCGTTCATGAGGCGCAGGGAGAACACCAGCCTCTCCTCCGCCGACAGCGTGGAGCTGAAGGGAGCCCAGGTGGGCCGGATGGCGTTGCTGCTCACGTTCTCCCTCCTGGGCAAGGACCACCGCGCGTCAGGACACGTCCCCGTGCTGGTCCTCGGGGACCAGAGTGGGGGGTACTGAGGACGGGGAGCCCTTACCTGGGGTAGTGGCACTCGATGGGGATGACGGCAGGGTTGCTGCGGATGATGACGGGGTTGCTGGCGGGGCTGGGATCGTAGTTGAGGAGCGTGCGGTAGATGAGGGAATCCGTTGTGATCTGGGCAGAAAAGCATTAACAAGCTCCCGGAGAGGCCACCCTACCTCCCACCACCACCGAGCCACGTAGCCATCCTTTCCCAACTGAGAAATGCTGGGGAAATCCAAAGAAAGGGGGAAAAAAGCTGGGAAAAAGGGGATGGAGAAGGAGCCCTGCTCCGTTCTCAGCAACTTAAACTTCCTAACAAGCCAAAACATGAGCGAAATGGGTCTGACATAGGGGCTTTGCATCATCGGTGTGTCTCCAGCTGAAAGGGCAAAATAGCTTTGGGGAAAAATGCTCTGGTTTGGGGGAAATACCTGCTCGTCCTTCCCCTGGGGTGTTCCTCGATGGTGCTCTGTGTCTGGCACCCAGAGCTCCGCCGGCATCATGGGGGATGCCCGGTGCATGGTCCTGGAGCTGTTCCGGGGGGGATGCCAGGCGCGACCCCGGGACTCAGGGAAGCACCGAGGGGGAGAAGGTCTTACCTGCACGATGCTGCCGCACTCGTGGAGGCCGGCGGTGAAGGTGATGGTGTTGTGGGTAGGGTTCAGCGAGGAATGCTTGCACGCCGCCGGCCCCAGCGTCAGGTCGGCTGCGTTGACCAAGCGGCCGGTGCCAAAGAGGTCCCTGTGCACCGTCACCACCAGCTGAGCCTCCTGGCACTGCACCGTCACCGGCTGCCGGCTGGAGATGGCTTGAGATTGGGGGTCCTCCACCCAGGACCAGGAGTAGGGGTCTGCCCGCGCCCCCCGGCTTGCAGGGTCACCCCAGGAGAAATCCCAGGGTGGGTAGGCAGGCACCTCGCCCACCGCCCAGCAGAGAAGAGTGAGGATCAAGCCACTTTTGGGTCCCATCCCTCCTTCTTCCAGCAAACCCCGGCACAGAGATCCGGGGCTGGTCCTCCGGCCTTTATATCTCCCCGGGAGCAGGAGCCGTCTGCCCCTGGGCTCCTGTTTGGGGACCAATGGCACCCAAAGGCCAGCCCTCGTGGGTGTGGGGAGAGGGGAGGCACAGCCGAGTCATTTCCGGGGTGCTGGGACCCCCCGTTCCCGGGCTGCCCAAGGCGAGAGAAAACATCCTCGTCAGCCTCTTCGGGGAAGTTGTTTATAAAACTCAGCAGAAGCCGGAGACGGGGAGACTGGTACAAAGTGGCTTGTTTAGGTTATAAGGTGATAAGGGGCTTTTCAAGGCTGCTGGGGAGGTGACAGGAGCAGGGAAAGCAGGGTCCACGATCCCAATCCGGGTGCTTCCCGTCCGCTTCGCGTGGACCATCCCTGCCCGGCGCCGTCGGCTCCCCTGGGACTCTGGTTTTCCGCTCGGATGCTGATGTGTTGGCGGGGGGCCGGGAACACACGTGTTCACAGCTCCAGCCCAAACAGGGGTTTTAAGCACCCCCCTTACTCCTCAGCGGGGCCGGGACCGGGATGTTCGGTCACCGCTGACCCAGCAGCAGCTGATGGAGCGCCCTCACGACTGACACGAGCGCAGCCGTTCTCAGCCGGGGCCGAACAACCCCCATTTCGGCCTCGGCAGTGAGCTCATTAGCTGCAGAGCCGCAACCTTTCTTTTTTATCTCTGCTGCCCTTCCCCAGCTCTTTGGCTTGTGTTTGTTTCGCTGCCTTCAAGGAAACGGGCTCGGGGTAGAAGAAGCCAGAGGCCAGGAGCTCCACCTATCGCTCCCTTCCCCACGCCGCAGCACCCCGGTTTGTACCCCACCCCCCACGAGCAGGGCTGGGCATTGCCCGGCTCCTCACAGCTGGGGAACAGGAAAACCTGCTTAAAAATAAACCCTATATGTTTTCAAGCCTCATTATTGGAGTTTCTGTCCCTTCTTTTGAGCATCTTTAACTCTTTTTTCCTGCCAGGGCTCTGCAAGCATCCCATTGGCTCCATACGAGGGATGCTCCGTTTCATACCCCAAATCCCTCTCTAGCTTTTGGGATGTCCCTGGCAAGCCTTAGGGACATCTGATTTGGATGTTCGAGCTGGAGTGGCTGAGCCATTTCTGGGAAAATGAAAAGAAACAGAAAGTTTTTGGGGCAGATGTTGGCCAGCCCGCTCCTAGCAGAAATCCTAGAAAAAATTACAGACCGGAGTAAAACCTTCTGCCTTTCCCGCCGGCTCCTTTCCCTGGGGAGCCGATGCCCTGTCCCTGCTGCTGTCAGCGGGTCCAGGACTTTGCCTTCGTGTTTAAAATACCTTGAAACTGGCACTTGCATAGAAATGCCAGGGATTCCAGCAGGCTGAGCCCCGTGCGTCACGGAGATAAGGCAGCGGGCGATGCTGAATCAGTAAATAAACAGCTGCCCCCCTCCCGGGGGAGAGCAGCACCGCTCGGCCAGGTCCTTGGCTGCAAGGACCGCAGGAGATGCCTGGTCTCACCCCATCGCATCCCAGAGAGCTGCAGCTCAGGGGCCAGCTCCAGGGTTAGGTCATGGGTCTCTGGGTACCAGGGCTTGATCCCAGCAGGAGAATAAATCCCTCTGACAGGCCACCCTGTGTTTACACAGCTCAAATTAGCAGAGGTGAATCCCAGGTGGAGAAACCCACCCAGGGTCAGAGGAGAGGAGGTATTTCTCTATGAAAAAGGGGATTTCTGCTCACAGGTTAGCCCTTGCCAGGACTAGCTGTCCCGTCTTTGTTCCAAGCACAACACGACATTGGCCGTGGACCAGCGCAGTTGGGAAAGAGCGTGAGCTCATTTGTTTGGAGGAGGCAGAGACCAGAAAGTCCCAGGGCACTGGACAAGCACAAACCCCAGTGGTTTTCCCCCTGTTGTATAAAGGAGACTTGAAAGCACACCGCATTTTTTGTTACAACGTAAAGTTTTAAGTCAAAAATCTCTCATCAGATGGTGAGGTCAGTGCTGCCGTTGAGACTCACCAGAGCCAGGGATGCTGCCCAGGAAGGGGCAGGAGCCGCTGGAAAGCTCTGGAACGCCAGAGAGCATTCCCCCATCCCCAGTTTCCTTGTAGACCAGATTTGGCCGATATTTGTCTTCATTCCTGGAGCCAGCTGAGGTATTTTGGTTGAATGGCTGCAGGGCAGCTGTGCCGAGTAGCATAGAGAAGGGTTTTCATTTAAAGGCTCCTCTGTGTGTCTCAGCAAACCAGAGATAGTCCCCGCTCGGAGCACGTGTGCCAAGGGATGGTCAGGGCACTGAACATCTACAGAAGATGCTGATCAAGAAGGAATCAGTTATATGAAAAATTAACACATGTCAGCAGCCACAACTTGTGGCCTGGGAGGTTCAGGTTGGGCGAGGAAACATTTCTTCTCCAGGAGGGTTGTGCAGCCCTGGGCTGGGCACGCAGAGGTGGGACGTTGCCAGCCTCAGCCAGGCCAACCCCAAGATGATACATCTGGTGTTGGACTGGAGACCTTCTGGGATCACTTCCACCCACGTTTCCATACCCTCCCTCCTCTCCCTTCTGCCCCAGAAGCTGACAGCTCGCAGCTCTCAGGGGGTGGCAAAGACATCTCCCAGTTATTCCCCCTAAAATCTCCTACCTCTCACCTTGCTTCAAGACAAGGACCAAGCCCTCCCAGCGAGGGTCAGATTATATGGATGAGGAAAGAAGCCATACTGACAACCCCAACCCAAAGTCAGCGCAGCTCCCTGATCCAACCCAGAACTAATCTTTTAATGTTGAGGGAGGGCTAATTTGCCTTTTGAACTGTGAGCAGCCAGACTGAGAGCAAGGGAAGGGACGGGACAGTGGTTTAGGCAACCCAAAGTCTCAAGTCCGACTTGGCACCTGGTACCAAAGAGATCTCGGTGCAAGGTGACATCTATCAAAGGACATCTGGCTGAGGGTCTCCAGGGTGCTGGATGACACTCAAAGACATGCCAGCTTGTGCAAGATACCACTTTCCTCTGTCCTCCATGACCAAGAGAGCTGCCCGAGCTCCCCCAGAGCAGGCTAAGAGGTTGCAGAAGTCCTCCTGCCCCCTGCAAAACCAGCTCAAGAGGTGGCCATGCTGCAAGCAAGCCCCAGCTCCTTGCAGGTCTCAATTTTCCCTGAACCCACCATCCCAAGATGTTCAGTTCCCACCACTGCCTAAAGCAGGAGCCTCTCCCAGCTAGTGGAGAGCAACAAGTTTTGCGTTTGGGGCAGGAACATCTTGCCATTATGGTTGCTCTGCTGAGCACAAGAGGCCAAGTCTCACAGCAATGGGAGGAAAAAGCAAATATGACTCAGGCATGTCATAAAGCCCCTTTGGGGGGGGTGGGGGCCAGAAATTCCAGTCCCTGCCTCAAGGACTGTTTATACACTTCAGCCAAGGCTTGTGCATTAACTATGTGTAAACAGTCCTTGGGGCAGGGACTGGAATTCCTGCCTCCATCTGTCCCAGGAAGAGCCCAAGCCCCAAGTTGTGCTCCCTTCCTCATCCAGCAGAGCTTGGATTTCTCTCCCAGAAGCAACTTCAGGCTGGAAGAGAGTTGTCCAAGTCTTACTAAACCCTTGGCTCGTTGAGTGAAGAGTTACCAGTACGGAGCAGACCCAAGTAGCTCCACAGAAAGGTAAAACGTTTTGAGGCTAAACACAACTCCATGCTTCTACAGACAAGAAAACAGGGTGTCTGGAGGCTAATTTTTTCCGCATCAGTTGCCAACTAGGTGCTCTGGGGGAAGTTCATGGGGGTGTAAGGCTGTACAAAGCTCTGCTGAGGACAGGGCTTCAGGAGAATGAGACATCAAGATTAGGCTTAGGGAGGCAAGGAAGCACAGTTAAAGTTAGCGTGAAGATTTGGTTAGCTCAGGCTCCAGGAAGACTTCTCCGCTCCCCCCACCAAGCCTCTCACAGCCCTTCAATTTATTTTTTATTGGACAGACTATAAAAGTTGAAACCAGTGACTTAAAGGGGGTTGCTGGGCTCCCAGCAGACAGTCAGAGCTCCTAGAACAGCAAGGACCAGGATGACCAAACCAGCAACTGCAGCCAGCCCCAATACCATCCACAAGTGACCCGCATCTAGGAAGGAGATTTAAGGAGGTGGTTATGGCCAGAGCAGCCAGGACCTGCCACACAACACCCCTCCCCCCTTCCCTGGGTTTGCCCTACCTCGTGAAGACACCTTCCTAACTGGGTGATCCTGCCAGCTGTGGATGAAGAGAGGTCCAACCACAACATCTGCTTCTTTCACCAAGGGATCTGAAAGGGAGGTCCTTTGAGCACTCAAACTCACTTGAACATCTAGCTCTTCCAAGCCTTGGATTAGCACTGAGGAGCCAACAGGTAGTGAGGCAGCTCCAGCCACCCAGCTCTGAGCAAGTTCCATGATGGTGACAAAGACCAAGAGACACGCTGAGACCTACCAAGCTGGAAGGGCAGTTCTCTCCGGGCACGTCCTCCTTGCCGTTGGGAGGGAGCGTGGAGCCTCCTGGAGTGCCTGGCCAAGCCACAGCTCTTCATCTCACAGCAGGAGCAGACATCCCGGGTGCCTTCCACGGGAGCCCAGCTAGAAGAGAGCCTGGTGAGTAGCCCACCCTATGGTAGGAATCCATCATATGTTTTGATGTCTCCTAGGAGAGACCAAAACCCTCCCACCCAGTCAGACCGGATGACCAACCCCATCTTCCTGGAAGGTGACACACCAGATGAGAAGCCCAAGCTCTTCACCCTTGGGCAAGCTGCTGTTCCAACTACTCACAGGTTGCTGGCTTTGTTGAAGGAGCAAGCCTTGTTCAGAGGGTCAGGAGCTTGGTCAGCCGGGGAGACCTTCAGGTGGCAGGTGATGTAGACCTGGGGAGGCCAGGCAGAGCAGACTGGTTAGGCTGTCATTTGCCTTCACGGCTTTCCCACACACCATGAAGTCAGTCTCCAATGGCGCTGCTGTTCAACTACTCACAG